CATTGAGTGTACATAACACCAATGATGGGGGCTTGGAATGCTCGGATACATACGCATGACATTGCATGTGTTATGGGAGCTCAGGATGGGGCTCGGGGTTGGTATTGCTTGCGTGAGTCTCATCTCATGGCATGACATGATCTATAACATTCAATCATAATAGACATATTTAAATGAATGTATCAAATGATTGTTGCATGTGACATTCCATATGCATTTAAGTTGAGAGGTATTCTCTATAGGAGTTACCCTATTAAGCGTTGACTCACCCTTTATGAAAAAAAATTTCAGGTATCGCACAGGCGTCCACCGAAGGCGAGGCCATGGGCCCGCTTTGACGACAGAGCCGGTCTGTGGCTTTTATTTTGACATTGTAGTCCCTTGTTTATACTTACTTTTGGCCTTGTATAATTTTTGTAACAAACATTTGTTTATATTTACAAAGGCATGTATATAGGACTCTTTTGGGACATTTATTCTTTTACGAATAAATGTATGTACTGATAATGATTATGGTAGTATTCGAGACTATACAATTGTGAATGGATAGATAGACCCGGTGTGGTCAATATTGTACAGGTTGCGTTTTGAGTAGTGCTCCTCGTACAAAGGAGACTCTGTCCAAATTTTGTTAAGTTATGGATCCCGAGAAATGGGACATAACGGTGTGGTATCAAATTACACGATATCCACCAGTATTACATAGGTCGATGGATAATCAATCGAATAATTACAGACACCCAGACTTTGGGGTGTCAGGAAACTAATGGGACAGAAATGTTTGGGATAATTAGTTGATAACTTTTCATGTGATTCTCTAAAGGTTAGGCTTTTTTTAGAGATAGGTGAGTAGGTTTGGGCTTATTGCACTTATTAACTTCCATTGATTATGCATAGGGGTGCAACATAGACGGGTCAACCTGAAATAAACCAAAAAAAAACAAAGTTTAGGTTGAAGGTTTTAATACTTAGGATGGACTTGAGCTAAAAAACATCAAACCCAAATTAAATTTAGACAATACCCGAGTTGAGGTCTTAGGTTATTAGATTCAACCCGAAGATATAAATTGGGCTCATCTCGAATATATTTAAAAATAAATATATAAATCAATAGCATAACTTACTATTAGAGTTCACACTTCACAATTCACTTTAATGAACACAACCTGAATTATAATCCGAAATCAATTTGAATTAATTAATTTGAACCCAATCCGAAATCATTCTGAATTAAGTAATCCGCATTCAACTCGAGCTTGTTTGAATTCGACTTGGACAGTACTTGAGTTAAGGCCATATTAGAGTTAGAGTTAGGATTAAAGATTATATACCTAAAGTTAAGCAAAATTTAACCCTTCAACCCGCCCAACCCATAGCAGCAAGCGAGAGCGGATTGGGGGTTTGAAGAAAAACAAACACAAAGCAAAGTTCCAACTGATCAGCAATACCTGGAGGACTGACCATCAAGCCACATTTTGCTGGTTCCACAATCTGCATAAGCAGCATATCTACCGCCAAATACAAGTGATCATGATTTTGGATGTCTCAAGCAATACTTTCAAATTGGGGTAAGACTATCTACCAGTTATCTCTTTTAGATCTCAATATAAACGGGAGTCTTCTACACTTGGTTCGGATATAAAATGATGGTTAGCATCTTATAATATATTGGCGTCTGGTTATACTAAGTTTTGTAAAAACATTATTCATGGTATCTCTCCATGTCGGTTTAACCTTTTAAGGGTGGCATTCTTGGACACCGCACAATAATATAATACGGAGTCACCACGAGATGGATTCGGATTGACTAGTTTTGATACGAATCAAAAAATAACGTGATCTACTAGGACAAAAATGCTAGATTTTTATTACTTTTGACCAGGTATAAACATGAATCCTTATTAAAAAAAAAGGAATTTTTTACTTATTCTTTTATTATATAGATTAATGAATTTTTAATTTATGAAAAAACCTATGAGTGGATGGTTTGATAGTTTGACAGAGAGATAATGAGGTCTTAGTTTTTAATTTTTCATACATGGTTTACCTAGGTCAATTTGAATAAGACGGGATAATAAACAGTTTTGTATTAGTATCAGGACATCTGATGCCGCACCTAGGCTCACATCTCTCCATTGTAGAACGTAATATATTCAATGCTAAGTTAGCCTTAGCATTTATCCCGATGCAAATGTCAATTCACTAGGTGTTTGTAGCATCTAATTACCAACAACCAACCTTTTGATTAAAGAATATCAATTCAACGAGACAAATAGAAAAAAATTTCGAGATGTCACATATTGTTCCTCTCTTTTACCCTGTGAGAATGCTCTAATACCCACATAACACCAAGGTATCACTTGTCAAAGCCTTTTTGTGTTCCCTTCTTTTAACAAAAGTTAATGCTAATGAACTGAACAGGAGGGAGAGAAAATTAAAGAACTTTCCTGAATAATATATACAGGATCAATGTTGTGGACATCTGATATTTCACTCTGCCTCATACCCGATTCGATATAAAATCCTTAGAATTTTAGTCGAGAAATTTTATGAGCCTCAATGAGGCGGAGGGATTTGGCCGATAGGTTTTTAGTGGTTGTATACGTATTGATATTTGTAACAAAATCGAGAAGTTTTTATTTTGCTTTCGACTCATTTTCTAAATTCTTTGTAATCTTTGTCGTTCATATTGAACTTTTATTGTTATGCTTCCCCGTGGATATAAAGTTTCAAGTCAATCATTTTAATTATCTCGCATGATTCATGTTTTCCTATTCTGTTTTGCTGTTTATTTGTGATCACGTGCATAACGATCAATGTTCATGAACAGGTTTGGTGGTGCTGGATACTGTCCGCTTGACCTTTAATGAAAACTGAAAGCAATTAAAGAACAAGGAACTTCTCAGTACTTCTTATACAGTTCATGATCAAATGCAACAAGAAAGGGTTTCTTGGTCTAATGCAGAAAGTCAAAATACAAGTGAGATGACACACACCGAGTCCCAGAAAAAAGCACACTAAAGTGAGAGTCTGAGCTCCAAATCTAGTTCTTGGGTGTCACTTGATTCAGAGTTTTGACTGCTTGAACCACCCACTGAATCACTGGGGTCTTTCTTTCTCTTCTTTTCCAGTGAGTCCTATATATATATATGATCAATCACAGGAAAAAAATTGTTATGGTCACATTAATTAGTATTCTAATCTTATTGATTAGCTTTGAACACTCATTGAATAACTTGTTTTAAGTCATGCGCGAGTTTAACTGAAAATAGATAATATTGTGTAATACAGATTACAGATGCAGGACACTATAATGTCGATGTAAACTCAGAGGAACAATGGCTGATTACCTCAACTTGTATGTTCAGGAGGTGCCTAGTCATGCTTGGTTGCACAAAATATTGGGTCTCTAGACCGGCATTGCCAGGGTTCCATCTGTTTGTTGAATTAAGAATATTGATCAGACATATAGTTTATAGAAAGCCCTTGTAAGAGACAAGTGTTTGGTGTCGTTCGCGTTGAGTATTCTTCTTCTTTCTGAATATAATTATTTACTTATCGAAAAAAAAAGACACAAGAATTTTGGGTAGGAAACACAAGTACCTTGCTGCAGTACTAGTATGGGAATCACCATGTCTCACATTTGCTCTTTCTAATTCACTCAAGCCCATCTGTTATACAAGTAAAATTCTAAACATTTAATCACCTTATAGATCTAGTCAGAGCAAATGCATGCACACAATCACCCACAAGTGTTATATGCTTGCTTTTTTGTGATTCACCCAAACCCATCGGCAGAAAATTTGGCATAGCCAGAAAATTCACTTTGGGTAGACCAAGTCAGATTAAGGGAAAAAATATAACCTCCCTTCCTTCGTACAGACAGTGGGAGAACAATCGACAGAAATTAGGATAGGCCTGAAAAAATGGGATTATAGCACAAAAAGATGAAGGGGTCTGGCTTGAAAATCTTCAAAAATAAAAATAAGATGTGAAAGGCCAAGAAGCAATTTCTGAATGAAAATATTTCTAATATACTCTTTATTACATTTTTTTTTTCCTTTTTAACAAATCATCTATCGTGAATTCAAGTAATCACCCCCTCCCACTTCCCTCCTTCCTTGCGGCTATTGTGGCTCCACCATACATGTCAATTTCCTTAGAATTAGTCATTGCACAATGTGAAGCATACACATGCAAAGAGATCCGCGGTCAGGGAGAAAAAAGGAAAAACTCCAAGAACAATCAATCTAATTCCTACTCTCTTCTTAGAATCACAAACACAATTCTTAAGGATGATGATGCTGATGATGAAAAGAAATTTTAAAAGGAACAAGAATCTAGGTTTAATACCAATTATCAACTTTGAAAACACTTCCACTGAAATTATAGTGAAATGATAAAAACTGAAAAGAGTTCCATATCTTAGAAACGTCGCTTCAAATCCAAAAGCAAAATCTGTGGATATTATGCACGTAAAGCTTAGTGGTTGAAAAGCATATTATGATATATACATATATAGTAAGAAGGTAAGGATGAGGCTGGCTATGATCATGCCATATTAATCCAATCATCATATAATCTGCTGCATATTGCATCAATCTCTCTCTCTTTTTAATGAGTTTCAGAAATGAGAAGCACACACTGAGAATCATCTGAAAAATCACTTATGGAAAATATTTTAAATAGATAACAAGTCGGCATACCATGCTGCTTTGATGGCCATGAAAACCGTAAGAAGATGAGGATGATGGTGAATATGCAAAGGAAGATGATGATGTATTATAGGCTGTTTGCAGTCTCACATCTTCCTGCACCATCATCAACAGAAACAAACCATGAAAATTTTACACAGCAGAGAGAGAGAGAGAGAGAAACCCATGAACATTCTACATAGTAGAGAGAGAGAGAGAGAGACCTGGGTGAAGTTAGTAGGGTAAGGATTGTGAACAGAAGGAAGGTAGCTACAACCCATTTGGTTATGCAGTCTTATCTTCTCTAATTGAGCAACACCAAGGCCTCTCTGGGGTTGCTTGGGTTTGTCTGAATTGCTCTTCTTGCCTTTCCTTGATGACCCAGATCTTTCATTTCCTAGGTTTGCCTCCCCAAAATAATTGCTACCCATCTCTTATTGGGTGATTTGTGTGTGTGTGTGTGTGTGTGAGAGAGAGAGAGAGAGAGGGAGAGAGAATTGCTTAAAAAGCCTAGCAACTCCTCCAAACTTTCTTCCGACAGTTGCTGTGATCTCAGAAATCTTCAGTGGCCCCTTTTAAGCTGTCAACGCTTTGCATCCAGTTAGTTATTGCATCGCTGGATCAGATTTTATACGGATTTCTATGATACCAATAACTATATACGTTTAGATTTTATGCTCTCTGTACCCCCTCCTTTCTCTTTTGGCTCATTTTTGAGAAATTCTAGATGTAGCTTTATTATTTTTACCTCTGATTTGCTTACTAAATTAAAAAAATACTGTCTTGAGATACAAATCTAGGCTTTTTGTTTAGTAGATCATAGGGCGACTATCATTTTATTTTTATGTAGAAGAATCTTTTCAAACCTCACATTAAATTTAAAGCAAATCTCGAATACTTGTAATTATAAGAGTCATTGATGCTAAAAGATTTTAAGACATAAACGCTTATAACACATATAGAGTTCACTTTAAATCGGTGGATTAGTCGTGGTGACGATCATTATTTTATATGATCATTTGGTTTGTCATTGATCATGTCAGGTTCTGATATATGCAGCAGGTCATGTATTTCATGTGGGTTTCAGTTCCATGATCAATATTCATTGGTGTACAACTACAAAATTCTATCAACAGCTTATTTTGTTTGGAAAGGTAAGCTAAATGAAGAATTATCTAATGTAAGGCCATATCTCATTTAAAATATAGATTCTAGAAATCTTATACCAACTTCATAGGGATTGCCTTGTAGAAAGAGATGACATACTTAACCTCCTAAGTACTAAATTATATCAATCTTACTAGGAAAGTTTCCTATTTTAATACTTATAACAGCTAAGGTTTGAACGTAGTTTTTAAAAAGGTAAAAGTGTAATAGCTGATTGTGTTGAATACGCATACATATACATATATACATATATATGTATGTAACTGACGGATTTTTAGCTTCAATAGTTTAATTGCTTAATCCTTAATGCAAGGTAGTTTTGAGACAACAAGTCACAATCTCTATAAGGTAGTTATGTATCATCTACCTCGAGTTGTAGATATAGATCATCTTTCATATGTTTTCTCTCTATTATCTTGAAAGAGTGAATCATTGAGTAATGAACGGTAAGTGATATATGACTAAGAGAAATAAAAACAAAAATTATAGTAGAGAAGATCTGAATGTGTGAGTTAGCATGCACCAAATCAAATTGAGCTGTTTCACGCATGATCTGTGGGTCCTAAACAGTTTGTTTTGTGGTGGAAAGTGATCATCCTCTCATTTGTTAAACAGACATGTGAACGCATGCAATTACAAAAAAAAACAAACCATCAACCTTAAACTCCAAATCGTGTCATTTAATATTTTTTTTTATTACAAACGTGTCATTTTTTTTAGGGTTATTATAGAAAAATTACCCTAGGAATGCTAGGGTATGGGGTTGATATGTTGGACTCACAGTAGAAACTGGGGTAAGAGGTACTGTAATGAAAGTTGTAAAAAAGTAGGGATTGACGCTGAAGTGTTATGGTCGATCTTAAATATTAGGATCGATCCCTAACATCTCGTTTTATTGTAATCTCTATATCTCACCTTATTTTGTGGTAACTTAATTAAATATGTTGTCCAAAAATTACTTTTCGAAGACGTAGGCTCCATCTTTGTGTTTCAAACAATGAATGAGCTCATGGAAATGACCCAAATCTAAACCCTATTCTACCCATCCATTTCCTTCACAATCAATAGATGTGCTGTGGCCGTGCAACATAAACCAAGTTTGGTCATGTGATGCTGTTTTTATTTCAACTTTAGTGTTGCTAAGCTGCTCTTGCTATCAAACTCTAGCTAGTTTTTTTTTTTCAGTTTTGGTCCATAGGCAGAGATGGACACTCTCTATCTCTCTCTCAAAAAATATATGTTTTCATCAGTCAAACATGAGAACATTGTGTCTTCCATCACTCTTTTTCAAAGCGATTTGTTGCTTACATAAACAGGCATAGAAACTTAAGCATCCTAAAATATTAATCAACCAACCACTCTATGGTGTTCAAATCCAATTTTCCTTTGCTCATTTATTATTCTTGTGGCCTTTGAGCAGCCAAGTCGATAGAGTTCAGTTGATGACACCAATAAAAGTAGTCTAGAAAAAAAATTAATAAAAATAAAATAAAATAAAAGTAGTCCAGTTCAAGTGAAATTCTTGTATTTGAATTTTATATTAGTTCAATTATTTTAAATATCATGGCTTAATTATTCAAATCAGCTCATTTTCCTTGTGGCAATTATTTTTATAATGCTTTACTCTTCTTCGAAAAATTAATATTTTTTACAATTTTTTGGGCAATTCTAAAATAGACCAATTGATATTGATTACAACACATATACGGGTTACGTTTCGTTTCCAATCTACTTTTTCACAAATTTTCTCAATGGTAAATAACATGTGATGAATTTAAGTAAGATTTGAGTCCTTAATTAATATACCATGTGTGATCTACCGTTGAAAAAAAATTGTAAAAAGTATATAGAACAAGATCTAGAACCGTTGACATACACTCATAAGGTGTTAGATCATTTTCAATACATTTTTTTTTATTCTTAATATATCACCTACTGGCTACCGTGAATTCATGTAGTCCGTTGTAAATAAATAGGTCCTTACTCATTAATAGTGAATTATCTACTAAGAAAAGAAAGAGACTGAGAGAAAAAATATATATTAGAATCTGGATCTTGCACACACATGACGGAGATTTAGGATTCCCATATGAATAAGCTTAGTGCCAATAGTAATACTATTAGTAATAATCACAAGAATAAAGACAATTATAATGATGATGGTGAAAAAGAGCAGGCAGAGAAGGAAACATGGGATTATGTTGATTAGGTTTGATTTGATGTTGTTAGCAATACTGATATGATAGATTAGATATATAGTAAGACAAAACCAAGGACAAGAGCAAGTGGAGAGAGAGAGAGAGAGAGAGAGAGAATCCACTGTAGATTTTGGGCACATGCAAACTTTAGGGTGCATTACCCCTCACGATTTAATTGCACAAGTAATCCCATAGAAATCGCTGTGTAAGGATAATGAACTTGTCCTCTCAACCACTGAACTTTTGTATTATCATAAATTATTTGAATTTGTTTCACATTATTTCAAAATTAAATATCCATTATGTTAGAAAAATATCAACGTGTCATTAAATTTTGGAACATAGTCCAACAAGTAATAGAGTGACATAATTTCTTTTTCGATTAATTTGTAAGGATAGTTTTTATGATCATATTTAGAGGTTCAATGTAAAAAACGATATTGTAATCGGTGAAAAAAAGATCATAGTTGAAGAGGTCAAAGTGTAATTCCAAATAAAAGACACCCCCTATACAGCCGACTAGACACCAAATCAACCTCATCCCTGCACAATACAAGATCCAGCTATATCTATATTTTTGAGACACTACAAAAGGACTTGTACCCAACCCTCTTAGAAGATTGAATTCCATGTGTCTGGTGTGTGAGCCACGGCCAAGGACTAAACTATTATGCTCCAAACTTTTTTAAGTTCAAAACTTTATGAGCTCATTAAGAAAAGAATCTTGTGATGTGATCTTCATAGTTCATATGCATTGCATAGACTTGTTTATAATGATATGGTAGGAATAAAATTGATTAAGAAGTAAAGGTTTGGAGCAAACCCAATGAACTAAATTTTCACTAGAATATTAGAAGCTTCTGTGTGTATACTACAGGTCTACATACACAACCTTTTTTTTTTTATGATATAATACATACTTCCATTCATGAAAACAAATGGCAGCATATCTTATGCAGAGATTCACTACTTTCAATGCAAGGTGTTTAGGGAAAAAAGAAAATCAAGTAATTCAAAAGTTCAACTTTTATTTTTTTGTGCACAAAGTTATTATTTATAAACGGGTTTTGAAGATATAAATGACAAATAATTTTAGATATATCACTTGAACAGATAAACATTTGTCATTACTCTAAGTCCCAAGTCTTATTTTTCCTACGTCTCTCAAGTGTATATCCTCAAAGGAGTTGCATGATCAACCACGAGCCATATATCCTTAATTTCAATACTCAAGTAACAATTACTATATAATTTTGTGCTTGTTTATTGTGGAACGGGTTTAATTTTGGGGATTGAAATTGTTTGTTTATATATATATATATAGATAAATTATTAAGATTAGGGGTCTTAATACAATTAAAATGGGGGTTTGAAAAAAAAAATACTACTTTGATATAATTTACTAATCTAATTTCTTACTAGCAATGGATTAACCATAAACTTCTTGTCAATACAATAATTATGATAAATTAAATCAATAAATTAATTCAACAAGTTATATTCAAAATACAGATAGAATCCTGACTCATTTGGCCACTGAGGTCTGCCAAAAACCCTTTGGCTCCCATTGTTTCCTACTCCTTCGAAAATGTCATTCCTATTTACCAACTTCACCGGTGCTCCAACGATATATTATGGATATAAAGTTAAATATATATCATGGATTTGACAACTCTGGTCACATTACTTTTGTCTCTACTTTAATTATGAGTCTCATTATTGACTTAATTACGGTATCGAAAAAATAATTTTGGAACCATATTTTTAATTTTTATCACTTTAATGAGTATTTTTATAATTTTTATAAATTATTTATAATTAAAAAATTTATCATTTTTGTGAGTAATTTATCACTTTTATAAATCTTTTGACCACTACTGTAGGTATTTTTACGACATTTGTTATAATTATTTTTATCACTTTTTTTTAGTAAAAAAAAATATTATTATATTTATTAGTATTTTATTACATTTGTGGATATTTTACCACATTTGTGATCTTTTTTACCACTGTTGTGGTACTCCAAAAAATGGTAAAACCCTCGTGACAGGTTATCAGGATTTAAATTCACGACATTTGAATTTTTTATTTTTATTTTTATTTTTTATCTAATAGAAAACTTAACCACGTGTAATTTTATTTTTTTTTAGTTACAAATCATTCAAATTAAAGGGATCAATTTTAGCACAGTATCATATATACTATATACATGCACACACAAGTAATGGGGAATATCGTTTTTCCACTAACGTCTCATGTTATGTCCAAATATATATATAGCAAGTTAGCAACACAAGAATTGCGGACGGAGATTTCGATCTTTTACTATAACTTCCTCAAATTATGTCCAAATCATGTTGAATCACACCTTGAATGTGCAAAGTTGTCATTCCGTTAGGACTTAGACCACGATACCTACAAAATGATTTTGGTATCGTACTTTTAAATTTTATTTTTTTAGTAGGTTTTTTTTGTTTTTTTGTGGGTGATTTATCATTTTTACGGATGTTTTTATCACTGTTATAACTATTTTTACCACTTTTTTTGAAACTACAACAGAAATAAAAAATAACCATAATAATGATAAAAATACCCATAAAAAAAATAAATATTAATACGGCACCGATTTTTTTTTTTTTGACTGTGTCACTCAGACTTCTTAACGCAGGAGCCACCGTGAACAACCAAACAAGCACAAAGCTCAAGACTCACTCGAAGCCGTGCCAAGCCGAAGGGAAACATCGAGGTCTACGTGTGATTCACAGGAACACATCCTAGGTTAGTGCCCTCAATATAAAGGTTTGCATCAAGATAGATTATTCTGTTCTCTCTGAAGTATAAATGAACATTTAGGTATGCATCCAATCTCTCTTTTGAACTCCCTATATATATAAGGGTGTTAATCGAGACAGAACATAATTCAAATAAAACTCAACTCGAACTCGACTTATATTTTAAACGAACTCAGTTTAATCAATTTTTTATCAACTTGATGTTCTTACACGAGTCGAGCTAAGTGGACTCGGCTCGAGTTCTAAACAAGTCGAACTTAAAAAAAAATTTAGGCTATTTAAAAAATAAGCTCACCGGACTCAAACTAAAACTCGGCTCGATTAACACCCCTATGTATATACATTTATCACACTTGCAAATTCGGGTACCTTGTGGATGCCAAGGAAAAAGAGAAGCTATTATTAGCAAGGAAATTCTAAATATGGGTGTTTTGGTCGAACAAATTCTGGGTATAAAGGTATTGACATAGCCATCCCATTTTAACACTCAAGCCAACATTAAAATCTAATTTCTCAAGGTATTGTTTTAGATACTTGCTAGGTGAATTTGAATGGTTCCTTCCTGGTAACACAGCATTACAGATATGGGAACTAAAAGGAAGCACTGAGGGATGCTTTCTCCAAATGTTACAGAAGATGAGTCTCATTCTCAAACTTTTACATGTATAGGCTCTCACTTTGATACAGTCACTGAATGATTCATGATGCATTGTTAAAGACGTTTTACTTGACTATTTTGTGGAACAAATCGCCATAGGTCCACCGCAATATCAACCTCCTTTCTCTTGTGAAATTTGTAGAGGCATGGCACATCAAATCGAAGCTAGGAAAACGCATCGAGGAAATAAGGAACCACATCACAGCTCTACATACTTTAAGCTAAATTCATGAAGATGTGCACAACCAAATCTTGCTAACTCAAATGCTATCAATTTACCATGAAAAATAAAAGAATAGAGTGTATACGTGATATATTGTCAATAATATAGGGATAAACACAAAAAATACTTGCAAATGAACAAATTAACTGAATATGATATACCTCACATAAAATTTCAGCACTGCTAGCATTGTAATCCCGCAAGGCTGTCCTCTTCACATGCTGTAATCATCATACAAAGAATGATCAAATCACTGCACTCCTAGTACAATCTTGTAAACAATCACTCGAAGCAACGCTACCAGATGAATAAATAAGGCTAACTTTGTGCCTTGCATTAAAAAGAAAAAGAAACAAACAAGCCAACATCCCGTGAAGCAAACTCTTGCAGCTCCTTAAACATGAAGCTCAAGCCATTAGGAATTAAGAGGCACGTGTATGACAGGAAATGACATCATTAAATACAAGAAGAAGAAGGTCTGCATAGGTAACCATATTCTTTATTTTTTCTAAACATATATCTCATAGATGTTTACATTTTCAAAATAAATACTGTTAACATACCATATGATTCTATGCCATGACGTTTTCACGATAGACCATATCACCATTAAGGGGCATCTTAGAAAGAGCCCCTTACCAAAAGAATATATTACATCTGTACGTCAACCACTTAAAAATTCCATTCTATGGGTTTGATGCTCTGCTCATGTAGTTCTGTGACTGAAAAACTCACAAATTGCGGGCACAGATTCAGATAAAAAAGGCAGGCATGCATATATGTATGGGAGAATAAGTGGACAAAATATTTGTGCAGTACTAAACTAATCACACTGACCCTGAATGGCCTGCTGCAATAAAATGTACTTGTAGTGAGATAATAGAATACAACAACATTACTAAGCTATGATGGAGCATTTCTGCAGGATGAGTAACTTAGGCGAATCAATTTACCATCTGTAGACAGCCATATTTTGCCATTGTGATATGAATTGCAGATCCAAGCAATCTACTATAACTAAAACAATTTACTAATCAAGTTAAATTTAACTATGACAATTTTCAAAGAAAATTGACTTACATCCCTTGTTGTTGTCTTATGCAAGGAATAAACGGCTTGAGAAGCAACCTAAAGTGATAATCAATTCAGAATTAGTACAGATATCACTACTCACAACCATTTGACACACTAGATATGGGCCATGCCTTTACCTTCAAAGCCACAGAGAGGAAATCCATGTCAGCTCCTTTTTTCCGTGTTCCAAATGGAGGATTCATTATGACAGTATCAACAATTTGATCTACACCATAGCCAAGATCACTACTTTGATAAAAGAGAAGTTAATTCAAAAGGCTGGTAATATTAAAGAGTTCAGCTAGACTAAAGAGAAACTTGATGGACAAACTTCATTTAACAGAATATGTACCATTTTCCAAGCCAGTCTAGCCCTTCCCTAAACCCTAGACATCTCAACTATCATAGTAGTGTCAGCGTTAATTGCAGCTGTGTTATTGATAAAAACATATTTCCATCTCATTCTTCCTAGTATCCAACACAGAAAATACAAGAGATCATGCTTTACTCTGGAGAAGAATGTGGCATACTCTTATGTGAAGAAAAACCACCATACCCTGCCCAACAAAATTTGAACAGTGGAACTTTGTTCTAGCAATAGTGGATTTCTTTTTTCTTTATTTTGAACGAATTTTACAGAAACATTGACTTCTAGAAAACAAAGTTTGGTGACCACCTCATTTTGGAGAGAGGACAGAGACTTACCTCTCCATCTGAAGTTCTTGATGTCGCACTGAACAAAATTCATGTCTAACTGCAATTAAATTTCGATGACAAACAACAATACTTCAGTGAACTACTGCTAAGGCGCTAGTACATAAATCTACCAAGATATTGAAACAAGAATCATTTGTTGGCAAAAAACCAATAAGAGTAATAAATGACAAGAACTAAAGACTATTTTACGCACTAGAATTCTCCAAAATAAACACATTAGGAAGCATCTAAGTCAATACCACTATTGCTGATAGTTAAAAAAAAAACAAGGTACCTCAAGATCATCTGCATTTATTGATGCAATCTCCAGAGACTGATCATCAATATCGAGCCCAATAACATGTCTGTTCAAAATTCAAACCAAGGGCTAAGCGCAAAATAAAATACAGCCAATATGTAAATTTATAGTTATAAGTATCTATATACTACACATAGACATATACCCAAAAATATTCACTTTTACATTCATACAAGTAAAATGCATGAAATGAGCTGTTCCATCTAAAGGAAAAACATACATATACATACTTACACACAAACAAATGTAAAATGGATAAAAATGAATTCTTGTTAAACACAGACGCATAATCACACAACCACAATCGCACACCCCAAAATGGTGAAGCTAAACACTCACTGAGCACCCAAGAGACCAGCTGCAAGACCTAATGTACCACACCCACAGCCAAAATCTGCGACAACCTTGTCGCTCACATCCCCAAATGAATTCTCCGCCTAAATTGAATACAAAAACATGTTTTCAGACAAAAATTCTACCTATAATAATAACAATTACAATTCCATACAAACCACCTCTAACAAAGAGAATTACAACAGCATGAAGAGAAGCAAATGTGAAAAGGGTATATGTAAATAGAGAGATACGGTGTATAGCATCCGGGAAGCAATGTGGGGTCCAGTTGGGTATTGTTCCAAGTCAATCTGTAGCAGCAACAGAGCATAGCCATTCAGTTTAGCACAAGAAACAAATTCAAATGGTATGTTTGCATTACTGAGAAAGAAGAAACCTTTGGATTGGAGAATTGTTGAATAGAGCCAAGGAGACCTTCTAACTGCTTGAGCTTCATCTTGGAGTGGTGATTCTCACGAGAGAGAGAGAGAGAGAGAGAGAGAGATTCAGTTGGAAAAGACGGATTTCCTATTAGTATAACCCTAATGCAAAACGGAATATTCAAAAGAACATAGTCAAACTTGAAGAGGCAAAATACACTTTTTGTCCCCAAAGTATGCCTTTAATATTTATTTGGTCTTTAATTTTTTAATTGTATCTATTTGATCTCTAAAGTTCCTAATTTATTTCTACATGATCTAATTTCAAACGTCAGTCAAAAAATCATGATGGCTTTGGTCACTTGTCAATCACGTGGTTTCTAATTTTTTGTCTGTTTGATTATTAAAGTTTTAATTTATGTCTATTTGATCCCAAATAATTGGTGCGTGACCAAAATTTTTACGATATTCTAACGAAAATTTTGGAATTAGACAAAATAGATGCAAATTAAGAATCTTAAGGACCATAGACCCAATTGAAAACCAAATATACTTTGAGAGCTATTTTACCCAACTTCTAGCACTATCAGCATCCGACTCCGATCCTTTGAAGTTGGGCTAGATTATATTCGGAGCAATATTGTTACACGTCGGCCGTCATGAGATTATTGTAAGGAAATTTGGAGGTCCGTTCCTGAATGGACTTGTTTGAATTGTTTGAATTTAAGTCCATTAAAAAAATTATTTTATTATAAAGTCTGTTTTTTATCAATTTTACCATACTATCCCTTCTTTTTAGAAGTTAAATAAAACTAAAAATTAAAAATTCCTAAATTTTAGGAGTTTGACTAACATTAAAATTTTTTCTCTCTCATATTTATCTATATCCATATATAAGTTAAAAGTTTGACTAACATTAAATTTTTCTCTCTCTCATATCTATTTATATCTATATATAGGTTAGGTATATATATATATATATATATATATATATAGTAACATTAAAAATAAAAAATAGTAACATTCAAATACAAAAAAAAGTTACTCCCTCCGTTTCTAAATATCTGTTGTTTTATCCAATTTTTTTTGTTCCACAATATCTGTCGTTTTATGAAACTAAAACATAATTAATATTTTTTCTTCCAAATTTACCCTTATCTTTGTTTTCCAATAAATGCTTACNGTTTCTAAATATCTGTTGTTTTATCCAATTTTTTTTGTTCCACAATATCTGTCGTTTTATGAAACTAAAACATAATTAATATTTTTTCTTCCAAATTTACCCTTATCTTTGTTTTCCAATAAGTACTTACTAGATTAAATGTAGGTTAAATGTCTTTCATATTTTTTTCATTTCCAATACGTATTGAATAAGGGTATTTTAGTTTTGTGCAATTATTTTTTACTAATACTATAGCTATTTAATAATTTCCTTAATTCCTGTGCAAAAACTTTAAACGATAGATATTTAGGAACAGAGGAAATATCATTTAGACACAAAAATTAATATATTTAAACACAAAAATAGTAACATTTAAACATAAAAAAATTGCAACATTCAATATTAATATGTTTTAAAAATAACAATAGTAACATGTTCAATAAAAATATTAACATGTTTAACAAAAATAGTAACACGCTTAACAAAAACTGTAACATATTTAATAATAATTATTTCTCTCAAATTCAAATGCAAAAAATAGTACCATTTAAAGACAAAAAATAATAATATTCAAAAAAAAAATAATAACATTGAATATTAATATTTAGTAAAATAATAGTAGTGACATGCTTAACAAAAACAATAACATGCTCAAAATAATAGTAACATGAATAGTAACATAATCAACAAAAGCATTAACATGAACAAAAACATAATAAAAAAAATAGTAACATGAAACATTCAATTTAACAAATTAACCCCCATGAAAAATACCACATATTACAAAAAAAAAAAAAATTAACAAGGACCAAAGCTTCTCATTCGTTACCCACAAAATTAACATAATTCATAAAAAAATAAAATATGAACATTAATGAAACAACACCACTAGCTGGCCGGAGAGAGAGAGAGAGCGCTTTGAATTTGAATTTTAAATTTATGATGGAGATTTTATTGGCATATTTTAATTGACATTGAATTAAGAGATAACTATATCCAAAATAGGAAATTAATTTAACTTCCTTTCAAGGAAGAGTATTTTTGAGATAAAAAAAAAAAATGGATTTAAGTCATTACATATAATTTTAAACATAAACTTAGCCTTTTATAAGTTTCTTTACATGACTTATCTCCAAACAAGTACATCTATGAGAACTCACTTACATTTTTCACTTTATTGTATAATTCCAACAAACTCGTTGCATAAGGTTGAATTATGACAATATGATTCTCATGGTGTAATATACTAAATCGAGAATAACTCTTAATTTTCAGGGAACTTGTACATATGTAAATCTTTACTCCATCAACTTTATATATATAATAGTAGGGACAACTCGTGTTTTAAAGTACAATATAATATAAGTGGAAAGTGATAAATTTAGGGGAAGTGAAATTCAATATGAATGATTTTAAGAGGGATATTGGTGGTCGTTTAATAAGTCTATTTAAAATCTTCGACAAGTTTATTGAAATTTATTAAATTTTATATTATAAATATTTAATAAAATCCTCGTAAGTATGTTTTCTTTATAATTTTCTTTTAAGTGAGTTCTTGAGTTGAGTTTGTATTGAGTCAAACAGGAAGCAAACTTAAGCAGTTTTATGTTTCTACACAATATTTGGACTAATTAGTTTTAGATATTTGAATTCGAGTACAGTTTTTGACCCCAACAACC